CTCGGTCGGTGACAGCTGCTCCCCTGCTGCTTCGCGTCTCGTGGGAAGGGCCAAACCCGGGGTCAGTGGAGTAAGGGAGACTAGGTCGTTTTGGCTGGCTTTTAGCACCACCTAGTGTCCGTGTGTAGGACAAAAAACTGAACGTATCTCTTCACTGTGCTTTCATCTAAACGTCTCCCCAGCCTTCATTAGTGTCCACAGGAGTGATCCATAACAAAGTTAATCAAATCGACTGTTTTCATGATCTAAAACGTGCAGGAAACTTGCTGGAACCAGACTGCAGTGCCAGGTACGTCAGCTCCATTTTTCTTTTTTAGTCCAACCGACCAGACCGGCAACTCTGAAGTTGCAAATAGAATTTTCTGGCAGAGGGGTGGGGGGCTCTGGAGCTTTTTGCCTGCCGGTGTCGATTTACAAATGCCAGCGCTGCAGCATTATATCAGTGAAGACTCTGCAACCTTGCAGGTTCACAGATTGTAAACGACGACTATTTCCTTCTTTGGCCCTTTTGAAATGAGAAAAACTGACAACCCCCAGCTGGCAGGGATTGAAATCTGTTTCCATGAAACCTTCCTTCCAACACAATTGAAACATTGGACTGTTTTGTGAGTTTTTCATTCTAAAATTCTTACATATTGCTCCTTTAGTGTTTGTATTTTTCTCCTTCAAAACACTTTGTTTTATTCTGCATGTGATTAACAGGCTGAACAGATAATTTAGCCATTGATTCAGGTGTGTTTTGAGCAGGGAAACCAGCAAAACATACAGGATAGTAGACATCCAGGACCAGGGTGGGATGTTGGACACCACTCCCGGAGAGAAATGAGTTATACTTTACAGGTGAAAATTGAAAATTTGAAAACTGTGCCAAAGTTCAATTATTTCAGTAACTCAACATTAAAGTTGAAACTAATATATGACATAGATCATGACATATGTCACTCCATCCAGCAGCGGTAGCTCAACAGGTTGAGCGGGTTGTCCAGTAATCGGAAGGTTGCAGGTTCGATCCTGGCTCTGAGAATGAGAGTGCTGCTGTTGTGTCCTTGGGCAAGACACTTAACCCACCTTGCCTGCTAGTGGTGGTCGGAGGGACCGGTGGCGCCAGTGCTCTGCAGTCTCACCACTGTCAGTGCGCCCCAGGGCAGCTGTGGCTACCTCGTAGCTCATCACCAACAATGTATGAATGTGTGTGTGAATGGGTGAATGATACACTGTAGTGTAAAACACCTGGACTCCTCTGACTCTGAAAGGTGCTATACAAGTGCGGGTTATTTATCAATTATCAAATCCAAAGCCAGATATTTCAGCCTTTTTTGTTATGATGGTGATTGCTTACAGCTGATGAAAACCCAAATTCTAAATCTCAGGCAGTTAGAGTATTGTGAACGCAAAGGTTCAATGTTCTAGACTCAAAGTGTCCCATGCAAACCAGCTAATGGATAAAGAACACCTGTAAAGGGTTCCTGAGCCTTTAGATGGTCTCTCAGTCTAAGCTTGATTGCTGAAGTAAATGGATTATTGCTCATTGTTCCTTTTTCAAGTTTCACTTGTGGATCAGGGATAGACAACCCTGATGCTTGGGAACATGTTTCAGTTGTTTCCTTGCTCAAACCCACCTGATTTTTATCAGCAGGCTGAACAGGTGATTCAAACATTGAATCAGGTATGTTGGAGCGGAAGACCAGGATTCTCCTCCCCATTAGACAAAATTAAGCTTCATTCATTCAAAAAGTTTTAAAAGTAAGGCTGACGGCCAAGGGCGCCCCCAAGGGGTGGTCAGGGGTGGCCATGACACCCCCCCCCCCCCCCCCCATGAAAGGTCAATGTTAACAAGTCATATTAATGTTCAGTCAAACCATATATTTAATTTGTTTATTCAAGACATCATTGTAAAACAAAATAAAAATAATACAATTAAGTAAAAACATAATCAGAATAAATAAATAAATACATTTGTTTTCCGCTGCTCACCATTTTTAAAAAAAGTTTTATCTCCATAGTTTTTTTGTGAATACAGCAACAGGTGAGTTAACCTAAAAAAATAAAATAGTAAATTATATTTGGAATAACATTTTAAATAACTGAAATGTACTTTTCTGAAAGTTTGTGTTTGTAAATTTTAAGTTAAATGATTTGGATACGTACTGCTTTTTAATAAAAATGAATAAAGGAGCAATGCAATACATCGACACAGGCTAAACTCTCCCAGAGTTGCCAGAAGGATCAATTTGGTGTGCCACCCCAAAAATTTGTGTGGCCCCATCTGGCCACCCAAATCAAAATTTTATGGTGGCGCCCCTGCTGGTGACCATGCCAAACTTTTCAGGCTCTGTGAGTTTTCCACTATATTTTTGGTCTCCTAACACCTAAACCTCCTATTGGACTAAAACAGGGCAATGGACACCAAACTGATGGATTCTAGATAAAAAACACAACATGGCAGCGGCTGTAAAAACAATATTTTGACTTCATTTTTCAGCAGTGGAAGAAGGTGGAGACAGTCCTCGGTGGCCAGTATCCTGCATCTTTTTGTTGTTTCGCTGTCCCAACACAGTAGAATCACCTGTGCAGCAGCTCATCAAGCTCTCCAGAAGCCTGTTAACCACCTGCTGATTGAAATCAGGTGTGTTGAAACAGGGAAAACACTACTTTAGTTTGATATAAACCTGGAGCTCTGACACAAGAACTAGAATTGTTTAATTGTACACTAAATACCCTCCAGCCACCTTACGAATGAAACATTCTTGAAACTTAGCAGTGCACTGGATTTGGTGCATTATTCTAACATTTTCTAAGGAAACCAGTAAAGCTTTAAAGAAAAACATATTTTAGCAGAATCAGGAAGAACCTGCTAAATCAGTTTAAAAGATCAGAGACCATTAGAAAACAGACAGCGTTGAATCATTTTATATGTGGCATTTGCAAATCCTGACCTCACTTAGCTGAGGTTATAAGCATCAGAAAAAAGCTGATTTGCTGCAGAAAAACCTTTTTTTTCTTGGTGAATCTCTTCTGAAAACTTGTGTTTGACTCTGTGTTATCAAGGGATATGGCTGGATTTTTAGATCAAACACCCTCTAAATACTTGATATGCTCACTTAGAGAACATTAAATATTTCCATGCTCCTTCACTGAACATACGGTATGTCCCAAATGAAATCACTCAGAAAGCTGTAACACTAAACTTGTAACCTACTGAAGGGTCCTATCTGTCCATTAAATCAGCTAAACAAACATTTTCTGTTCATTCATAAAATGAACTTCCTTCACAAATTAACATGCAAACTTTGGTGATTCCTATCTTTTACGTTTTGCACATGAGGTTATCTACTGTATGCATGAGTGTGCGTTGTTATTTTTAGAGCTTCCTGCTATGAATGCATTGAATCTGAACCAAATGCAGCTCTGGAACAATTTCTAGAAAGCCGCGCAGAAACAGCTTTACAGTGGGAGGTTTTCGAAGCCTTCATGTTTGAAATTCTATTTTCTGACTCTTTGCAGCTCTAAAAATGTGCTTAGGTTTTCATCTCTCACCTCACAGTTCAGACCTGTAAAGTTTAGGACTTGTCCTGCTGATGTCTGTAAAACAAATACAGAAATAGAGACGTGAAAGGGTTTGACTCTTTGTTTGTGAACCTTTGACCTAAGAAGCTGAATCTTGGCAGCCAAATAAAAAAAACATTAAACCCTCCTACAAAAGGTGAAGGAAGCTTTTGAGCTGAGAGCAGGGTTCAGCAACAGAGCCACCTTCTCATCAGTCCAAATGCACACTTTGGTTTGATGTGTGAACGTGATGCTATGTGCAGTTTCCCACCGGAAACCTGCATTTTCAAACATCTGTTTTCACATTATAGTTCAAAAGGTTTTTATTATTATTACATATGTGTCAGTCAGACACCTAGCTGTGAGGTTTCTAGCTGCAGTTCTTTCCTGTTTCTCTTGACTATCTCGTGTTTGAATTTATAGATTAGATCCTGACATTAGCATTTGTCCTTTAGCTTCAGGCTCAAACAGCCTCTTGTCTTACGAACATGTCAGGTGAACGAGGCGACGCCTGTGGGCCCTGATGAATAGTTTATTATCCTCCTGCTGTCAACAGCAAACATCCATCCACTTTTACTGACAACACCAACCAAAGGTTATTCCAACATGCCTGGTGCTTTAATGTCCCTTAATAATTCAGGATGAGTGTTTGTTTAATTCATTATTCATTATGTATCTGTGCTCTCCAGCTATGTGTCACACCATGCAGGATTCTTGATTCTTTCTTTAATGCCATCCTTGTTTTCACATAATCAAACATCAGAAATTACATTATATTGATTTTTAACATAATTTGAGCTGTTTTCAGACTAAAAGCACTTTCTGATAATGTATGTTTCCTTTACATTACATGTAAACTGCACCCTCTTCTGAGTCATTGTCTGGGTGTCTTTGAGTGAAATACTTTCTTTGAAATGATGCTTCCATCTTCTGGAAGAAGCTGATATTACATGCTAAAACTATGTTTTTGTGTACTAAAATAAACCTTCACGTGGCCAAATAAACTGCTCCTATCAGGTCAAGTCAAATGAACTAATCTGAAAACACCTTCTGGATCATTTCTGCAGGGGTCGGGAAAGGCGTGTCTTTAGAAGATCTACCTCTCACCTAATTTGGTCAATGTAAAATAACAAAAACATCTGAAAACATAACGGTTGTTTTCCCTTTTATTAATATGTTACTTCATAAAAAATAAAAGCAAGTTGTGTAAATTTATTGTGTAATTATTTACGTCAAGTCATCAAATATTACTATGCTAGTAGTTCCGCTTTGCAGTTGGGATTTTCTTCAAAATAAAACATTTCTTTCTTTCCAAGTGAGGAAAAACAAACTTGAGATCCTACAAAATAAACACATTTTGAAACATTTATGTTAACTTCAACACAAGATTTATCTAGGTGTTATCAAGTCTTAACTAAAAATCTTTTTTCGCATAATTTTAAATTTAATTTTGAAAATTCTAACCCGGAAACACTTACAGTTCTTTTTAACGCTTGTGTTTCCAAACGTGAGATAGAACCGCAGCAAACATGGCGGCGCTTCGAGTCGTGGCGCTCTCTGGGAGTGGGAGAGCTCTCCTCGGCACAGGGAACACTCTTAAGACTTCCAAGGTAAAACGATAGCTCAGATAAGTACTTAAGCGTCGGTGTGGTTTTTAACTACGTTGAGAAAAATGGTAACGCTTTGCGGTGGCCTACCGGTGAAGTAACATTAGCATGACTGTTAGCGACAGAATGAGACAAGGTCACTTATCTTTTTATTATTATTAGACCACCAAAAACGACCTTCCTCTCAAATTTATATAAACCTTGTTGGTTACAGCTTGAATATAGTATATGTGTGTTTGTAGATTTCAAGGTAAACGCTTAATTTTATCAAAACTAGTTGTCACCGATGCTAGTTAGTTAAGCTAACACGCAGCCAGCACACTGATAATTCATCCTAAATACTTTTCTTCTTAAATTAAAGCTAAAACTAAACAAATCTATGAGCTGCTATAAGTTTTAATGGTTTCAGCATGCATTTAAATTAATTATGGTTCTTGTTCCGTTTCTGTTGGCTAAGAGGCAGCGGTCTAGAGCTAACGTTCTATTAGCAGTTCAAGGACTGAATAGGACTTCCGCTGAAAAATGACCTGTTTTGTCACCCTCAGCTTTAAAATGAGTTTCGTGTTCATAGTTGTTTTAACACATCTGGATCAATCAACCGTGAATTATTTAAATGTCTGTATTAAACCTTGAATCTGTCTGGGGTTCAAAATATTGTAATTATTCAGGAACACGTTTTTATTCTCTGTAAATGCTTACCATGAAACAACCCTTCAACAGTCGTTGTGACATGTTGGGATATTGGCATGGTTGTTTGATTGTTTAATGCAAGGATTTGATTATGTGCTGCCACCTGCTTGGCTACAAAAACACCTCTGAGGGGCAGTTCCATAAGATCAGATGACGCACACATTAAGCAAGTTCATTATCACAAACTAAAGTATTCACTTGGTGGTCTTACAGGAAAACTGTGTGTAAATGTGGATTTTTCTTGTCTCTACCCTAACTAGGTCAGAGGCTCTTCTATAGTTTTTTTTTTGTTGTTGTTTTTGCCGAAATTAAAAATAATTCAGATTTCACGTCTGCCTCATTGTAGTCTTTAAATAGATGTTTATATTTAATCAAGATTTCACCAGGATCTGATGGATAAACTAATGCATTTGTGTTTTACCAGCGGGCACACGTTCATCTGAAAACTGTTTTTGTAATTGCAGATTAAAATTTGAAACAAATAAAAATGTCTTTATTTTGACTAGATTTCATTGATTTTATATATTCCTGTTAGTAAATATGGTTCCAGGTCAACATATAATTAAACAGCATGGTGTTTAACATTTTTGCAAACTGAAACGTGTGTGAGATATAGTCATATCCTGAAATGCCCGTGGGTGCTCAGAGATTTACAAAGTTAATTTGTGTTTTCTGCAGGTTTTGAGGAATGGAAATTTAGTAATGAGGTCTAAATTTTGGTTCAAGTTATTTGGCTCCAAATAGAGGCATGAGTATCCAGAAGATGTGTTAATGTGTCTTTATTTTAAACACTTCAGTGTGATCTTAATTAAATGCTTTTGTCCCTTCTTAGGCCAGCATGTCCTTTGCCAGCCTGGCCAGTAGGAAGAAAGTTGCCCTGACAACGCTCGGTGTGGTCACAGCAGGTGGTGCTGGGCTCGCCCTGATGCTGCATCAGTCTGTTAAAGCATCTGATTGGGAACTTCACCCCCCCAACTACCCCTGGAGCCACTCAGGACCTCTGTCCTCTCTGGACCATGCAAGGTGTGTCAGATGATGGATGGACGTGCAAATACTCAATGCAACTTTATAATAATGCACAAAGAGTTAATTTAAAATGAAATGTATACTTTTAGAAAATGCTTTAGGTTAGAAACACCTATTCGCTGTCAGAAAACTTGTTTTGATTAAATATTTGTTTCTGACATTTTCTGTGTGCAGGTGACTCATTTATTTTATAGATGTATAGAAATGTCTGAATCTTCTCAGGATCTTCACAGGGAACAAACACAGTTTTACCATTTTTTCCTGTCTTTGTAGTGTTCGCCGTGGTTACCAGGTGTACAAACAGGTGTGTGCAGCCTGTCACAGTATGGAGTACTTAGCCTTCAGAAACTTGGTGGGGGTGTCGCACACAGAGGAAGAGGTCAAAGCCTTAGCTGAAGAGGTGAGGCTGATATCAAGGCGGTGTAAAACCGGAGCCATTTGGATCAATGAGCATCCTCCTTTTATTACCTTCTTTCTTACTTTAATTTAACTGCTAGTGCAACATTCCACCAGCAGAGGGATACTGGTCTGCTTTTACGTCTTGTGTTTAGTTTGAGATTGTGGATGGTCCTGATGAGAACGGTGAGATGTTCACACGACCAGGAAAGCTTTCAGACTACTTTCCAAAGCCTTACCCTAACCCTGAGGCAGCCCGCGCCGCCAACAATGGAGCCCTCCCTCCAGACCTCAGCTCCATTGTGAATGCCCGGTAAATCCAGGGACACGTAAAACACACCAAGTTTACTCTGAAGACACCAAACTCACCTGAAACCTTCTTTCTGTGCCTGAATGCGCTCTGCAGACATGGTGGCGAGGACTACGTGTTCAGCTTGCTGACGGGTTACTGCGACCCACCCGCAGGAGTGTCGGTGAGAGAGGGACTCTACTACAACCCGTACTTCCCGGGTCAGGCAATCGGGATGGCCCCGCCTATCTACAACGAGGTTCTGGAGTTTGATGATGGTAAACAAAGTTTATCTGCTCTCATTTTGTAGAAAAATATGATTTTAAAAAAGTCAGTAAAGCAACTGAAAAGCACTAATTCTTTTGCTATAGGAACCCCAGCCACCATGAGCCAGGTTGCTAAAGACGTGTGTACTTTCCTGAGATGGGCTGCAGAACCGGAGCATGACCAACGCAAACGCATGGGACTGAAGGTACACGTCTCATTTTCAGTCATTTATATTACCCCATTAATGCAAAAATGTCTGAAAGCTTTTCAAACACCGCAATATAAGATCTTCACTTATAATTTCTTAAACTAAATACTTAAACATACAAGCATTTCAGCTGCGAAGGGATATTTGGTCAGTCTGAAGTGGAATTTTATGTAAAACACTCATCTTGTCATTCGTAGAATCTAGCAGTTCTCTGTTCAAAGAAATAGTTTACATCATTTAAGGCTGATAAGCTAACAGCTAGTCTGAGTTAGCGCTGCCTTGATTAGTTGGTTGGTCACGATGATGTTGACAAACAAAATAGTCGACAATAAGTATAATAATCAACAATGTTTATTCTATTAAGCATTATCTTTTTCGGTCTTGCCTGCTGAAGCGCTGCTGCTGCTTTCTGCTTGTCTGCTCGAGGGTCATGCGCAGTAGTGGCCACCCGGGTGAGCTGTCGCGTCACCGGAAAAAACGAGACATGGCGAGCCGGCAGCCGAGCTCAAACGTTTGGGAACATTTTACAAAGATAAGAGAAGCATATGCAGTGCAAAATCTGCAAAGTAGAACTCCCCTTTCACAGGAGCACGAACACCTTAAAGGGAAGGACGTCGTGTCGGACAAGGAAGCAGGGCAGTCGCCCCTGAAAGCTAATTGCCTCTTAGCTGCTAACAACAGGGAGTTAACTGTATTTGTAGCTATAGCAACAACATTAGTGATGGTGCTTACCTTTAGCTCACGTATTTGCTTACAGACGCTAATGATTTATGGTATCCCGCTAGGTTACAGTGTTTGAAAAAGAGCTCCTCCTCAGTGGACGAGTTTGTTACCAACCCAACATGCACACCTCAGCAAGCACACGTTCTGACCGGGGCAGTTTTATACATGCTGATGACGGACATGGGACCCTTGCTGTTTGATAAGCATCATCTTTATTTTTAGATGGCACATAACAGCTCACACTTCAATCCAGAACCTAATGATGGGTATATTAGAGCAGCTACATCCTGGTGTTTAAGCTATAATTTACGTATAAGCTATACACAGTATATCGCAAATATATCGTTATCGCGATATCAGCATGCACAATATGCATATTGCAAAGAACAGATAAATATCGCAATGAATGGTCAGCTCAAATGTTTGCTACAAATGATGCATTCTGTCAAACATGATGTTTTTTTAACAAATCAAATAGAGCTCTTCACCCTTTGGCCAATTGGGTGGGTTCTCATAGGTTGGATGCCCGCCCCTGAGGGGGACGGCACTTAATTTTGATGGTTAAGCAAACACCTGAGTTAGCTTTGTTCTGCTTTTCCCGGGATCCACTGATTGCCCTTTTTTGTTAATTTCTTTTTTCCCTTTCCTCACGTTTTGCTTTTCAGATTTTTCTGAATTTTTTTTTATTTTGTGTTCTGCTGTCATCATAAAACGTAGAGATGTTCGCTTGTAGAAAATTATCTTGATCTGAATGACTTTGGATGATATTTAAAACAAGATTATCAAACACATTTAACCACATAAGCTTTATTATCTAGTGGAGAGGTCAAATTTCAACAATTCAGTAAAGACATCCAAGGTTTTATGAATATGAATAAAGTTTTACAAAAATAGCAAACAGGATGTTTTTCATAGATCAATAAAGGAACAGTTTGTTCCTTTTTATAAAATAAAAGCATCACTTTTTACTCAAGGTTTATCATATAGAATAAAGCATTGGATTGTAGTGATATATTATATTCCATGTCCTGTGTGAGTAGTGATAACGTTAAAGACGCTCCGGATTTCATTTATTCCTGCCTCGTAGCTTTCATCGGTCAGTCAGCACGGGCCCGATAGATCCATCGTGTAAATGTGACTGTGGCAGAAACATTGAGGCATTTTGGTCAGGGTTGAACCCTGGATGGGTATGAAATCTTGCTGCATAATTCATTATGAAATGACCTCTTTAGGTTTAGCTCCATGCAGACTAGCAGTTAGCATATCAGTCCTGTTTAACACAAACTGAACGCAGGCTCCTCTGGGCGGGTTAAAGAGAAACAGTGAATGTCCTTTTATGTGAATTTGACCATAATGGTATTTAAATTTTTACATATGCTATCCCTGTCTGCCTAAAAGACGTTTTTGACTTTGATCTCAAACACAAGCATTCTTAATATTCTTTTTAACGTCCTGCTTGGGATTCAGAAACAACAACTCTAGTAGAAACAAACATTTGAATCTTTCCGTTTTTCCTCTAGTTCCTGATGGGGTCGGCCATCTTTATCCCTCTCGTCTACTACATAAAGAGACACAAGTGGTCAGTGCTGAAGAGCAGGAAGATCGCCTACAGGCCTCCAAAGTAAAAGACAACAGCTCACCCCCCAGCACTGAGCCGAAAACTGGGACGGCTGCTTTCAGCGGCCCCTCTGTGCTTGCCTCCAGATGACCATAAAACCACCCAGCTGTGAGAGGTCGTGGTTATATCTTCATTTCAGTGGAAAAGCCTTTTTTTTTTTTTTTTTTTTGCTTGTCTGGTGGAATTATGCAGAATATTCTGTATCTGGAACTTTGTGGTTCTGATTTGTCAGATCTGCGGTGTTCTTGAACGCACCACCTCAGAGTTTAAGTTGACAAGCGAGGAGTCGTCGCTAGCAGCCGTCCACATCCCTCCATCTGATACGGGCTGCTCCGACACGGCTCACTGATTCGATTATCGATTAGCTATCTTTGTAAGATACTATCCGACCATAAAGATGCTGATAAATCAAATGACCTCTGAAGCTGTAGACAGTTCTGAGTTTATGTACATTCACTCATCGTCCTCGACAAAACATGACGTAAACTTTTGTTTTACTGTACAAAATAAATTATCTTAAAGGAATCAGCTGGTGTGGAAGTTGTTTGTTTTTTAAATACCAGAGCCACATGTTCAAGTTAAAGTTGCTTTTGTTCATGTTCAAAAATAAATAATTTTATTTCTATTGCACCTTCCACTCCTTCTGCAGTAGCTCGAGGTGCTGTACACTATCAGGTAAAACTAGAACATGTAAAATAAGTAACGATGAAAGAAAGCCAGAATAAAACAGAACCCGGGGAGATTAAAGGCAAAAGGATAATATCGCAGTAAGACCACGTTCGACATGGGACACAAATGGAAATGGTCTACCGGTAGAAGTGTATTTAAACGTCCAACTCACCACCAGGTGGTGATCAGTTGACAGCTCTGCTCCTCTCTTCACTCGGGTGTCCAAAACATATGGCCGCAGGTCAGATGATACGACTACAAAGTCTATCATCGACCTGCAACCTAGGCTGCCCTAGTACCAACTGTACCAATGGGTATCCTTATGTTCGAACATGGTGTTTGTTATGGCCAAACTGCGGCTTGCACAGAAGTCCAATAACAAAACACCACTCGAGTTCAGATCAGGCGGGCCGTTCCTCCCAATCACACCCCTCCAGGTCAAGCTGTCATTGCCCACGTGAGCATTGAAGTCCTCCAGCAGGACAATGGAGTCCCCTGACGGAGCACTATCTAGCACTCGTCCCAGGGACTCCAAAAAGGGTGGGTAATCTGAACTGATATTTGGCCCATAAGCACAAACAACAGTCAGGACCCGTTCCCCGACCCGAAGGCGCAGGGAAGCTTCCCTCTCGTCCCTTGGGGTAAACCCCAACACACAGGCAGAGAGTCTTGGGGCTATCAAAAAGCCAACCCCAGCCCTCCGTCTCTCACCCGGAGCAACTCCAGCAAAAGAGAGTGTCTAACCCCTCTCAAGGACTTGGGTTCCAGAGCCAATGCTATGTGTCGAGGTGAGTCCCACTATATCTAGCCGGTACCGCTCAACCTCTGCCACAAGCTCCGGCTCCTTCTCTGCCAGCGAGGTGACGTTTCATGTCCCAGTAACCAGTTTTCTTGTCCGGGGATCGGACCGCCAAAGCTCCCGCCTTGGTCTGCCACCCGATCCACATTGCACCGGACCCTTCATGTTCCTCCTGCAGGTGGTGGGTCTACAGTTGGATGAGCCCATGTATCTGGTTCGGGCTGGGCCCGGCCGGGCCCCATGGGCGAAAGCCCGGCCACCAGGCGCTCGCTCACGGGCCCCAACCCCAGGCCTGGCTCCAGGGTGGGACCCCGGTAACCCTCCGGGCCGGGTACTCCGACTCTTTGACTTTACCTCCAAGAAAGATCCTGTGAACCGTTCTTTGTCTCACCCTTCACCTAAGACCAATTTGTCATGGGAGACCCTACCAGGGACACAAAGTGCCCCAGACAACATAGCTCCTAGGATCATTAGGGCACTCAAACTCCTCCACCACGATAAGGTGACGGTTCAAGGAGGAGTAATAATAATAATAATAATGATAATAATACTAATAACTCATGTCAATGCAGTTAACAAGAACAAGAATGACAAGGCATTTTGTAATAGCTTAAGGAGGCATGCAGACAACAACATTTGGCCAAATACTTTAGGCCTATTTCGTTTAATCAGATATCACATGACCATCATACACAAGTGAAAGTCAACCCTGTTTGACAGCCTGTGACAATGAAGCCATCAGAAAATTATTTAATACACTTTATAAAATCTCCTGTCTTTTGCGTTCTTTGCGGTAGCTGAAAGTGCTGGCAACCATTATCAATGTACAATTTAGACACATTAAAAAGACAGGTATACAGATATTGAGACAATGTCAATAGGGTAACGATAAATTGGGATTAACATGTAAGCAATATCAAAAACACATATGACAAAAATGGAAAATTATATGTAGGCTTACACAGTAGGCTGTATTTGTAATGCAAAGCCATCACATCCATAAAGCTATTATTTCAGGCGGCAGCCTATGTGCAATTGGGTCAATTTTCTATGTTTTTATATTTTTTTTTCTTTGTTTTGTATATATATATATATATATATATATATATATATATATATATATATATATATATATATTCCACATTGTGGAAAGAAATTGTTGTCAGCTGGCTATGAATTGGCCATAACAATGCATAGAATACGCTTCAATCACTTTTATTCAAAGTACCTTCAACTGTTGGTTTTCAACATGAACTGAACAAGTAGGATTTTGTTTGAAACCAACTATCGGTAAAACAAAACAAAGAAAAAAAAATATAAAAACATAGAAAATATATATATATGCCCCCGACAGCCATAACAAAATGAGGGCTAAAAATGTTTATCTCTTTTATTCTGAACAAATTATCATTTTTTTGTTTGTTTGTTTTTTTATTATTGAACTGTGCATAACATATTTGTGTCACGCTGTGGAGCAGGAGGTTAGGACCCAAGATGCAGACCCAGGATGACACGAGGCAGAAATGTTAAATAAAGAAGAATCCTTTATTTTGGATGACAAAATAAAAATCCAAAAAGGGCAGGAGGCAAAAACCCAGAAACTAAAATGAAGCAGGGATAAATCCAAAAGCTCACTTTAAAGTACCAAAGACCAAGAGGGAGAGACAAAAACAACGCTGACATAAACAATGGACCGACAAACACACAGTGACAAGACAAGGCTTATAAACAGGAGGGAGGTGATCAGGGGAACAGGTGGCAGGTGTGAGTGGTGAGCTGGAGGGAAGGCAGGTGAAAACAATAATCTAAATGGTGAAAAGAAAACAAGCAGGAGGGCAGCTAACTCTAGAAACCAGATAATTAAACTTAAAGACTTAGGGCAAAAAACTACTAACTAGAGGGATAAGTGACTATGAAAACTAAGGAGTGACTAGGAGGACACAAGAGGAGAGATCTACAGAGGGCTGGGGATACTACTGGGACACAGAACATGGAGAACCTGGAGTGGGAACTGGAGGGGCTGGGGAACAAAGGGACACAGAACATGACAATTTGCACATTTTAATACAGAATGTACAAGGAACATGCACCATGGAAAAAATATGGTTCAAAAAAACACACAAAATGTAGGAGGAACAAAAGAGAAGGAATAAACAGAAGCAAGGGATGTTTTGTGAATTTAAAGTCCTCAAACAACTTACAGAGTTTTACAGCATTAGTCCAATTCATACATGTCAACGATAATAATAAAAAAAAAAGGCCAGAGATCTTTGTAGCGGAAATCCACATTTTATATCCTCAAGTTAACTTTGTTTGGATTTACACGGAGAAGAACAATAACATTTTCACACAAAGGTTTCTTTCACACTTAGCAGAAAAAAGGGGGAATTTGAAACTGACCTACAATCGTATAAATTCCAAAGTACCATTTTCGAACATCTGGCTAACGCCTACATTTTCTCCCTGCCGGTGTGTTCGTGTGGACAAAGATGCACAGAATCAGTGTCTGGTTTTAAAATCACACAGTTTCATAAAAAAAAATTTAAACGCCCAAAAGTCCAACTAAACTCTTCACTACTTCACAGGTCATGTGCAAATCAGCGATGCCAGGGGAGACCCAGTAACGGGGGGATTAAGTAGTTTATCAAAACCAGTGCTGTGGCAAAGCCATAAGATGGAGCTGCATCACTTGGACTTCCACCAAATTGTCCCAGTGCTTCCAGCTGACACTGATGGGGTTGATCTGACTGAGCAAGACTCCAGGCTTCCCCGGCCTCAGCACACCTGTACACAGTTAGACAAAGCCACAGAGGTCTTTCACTGCATGACCTACGACATTAGAACAAACAAGAGAGAAACAATGCCAATGAGGTTCACCATGTGAGTCTTTACCTGTGCACGGTTTGACACGGCCACAGAGGTCCAGCGTTCTGTACGCTGTAACGTCCAAAAGGGTCAATTTTCTCCTATATATTGATCAGCATGATAATTTGTCATCTACAGAAATAAATCCACTTTCTATGTGGCCTTCTAAATCCAGAAGGTTCTGCTCAGCGCGTGTTGACAGTCCATTAAGACAAAACATTCAAACACACATTCTCACCCAAGGTTCTTGCACTCACTGTGTGAATGTCAGACGTCAACATTCTTCACTCTGAATAAGGGAAGACTCCATGATTTTATAGTTATAAGTTACAATAATCATATGTGATGAATGAACAAGATGTTTAAATGAAATGTTTGAATAATTTGTGCTTAAATCAATGAATTTAAAATGAATATTGTTCTTACAATGATCCATTTATATCACAAATCAGTATGTGTTTGATTTAACAAGTTCATCATTGTTACACCCATACACATCACAATAAGATACATACTAAGGTTAAAAACATCTTGTATCTGAAGGAAAGCGTGGCTTTCTGAGGGATGTTTTGGTAAAGCCTTCCAGACATGGCACATTCTGATTTGCCAGAATATGCCAGAAATCATAACAAAGTAGTTTAATAAAACAAGAATTACTTCCCAAGTAATTCAGTTTCCAGCCGAGCCCCGATTCAGCCAAATCGGGAAACAAGTATTTTTAGAAGCAAACTCCTTTAACCTTAAGTCAAAACCTTTCTGCAATGCTGCAAGTGATTACAGACACAACAGCTTGTCAGAGCTACTTCAACTCAGACGTCCACCTTGGACACCTAATCTGCAGACCCCGGGTTGCATCTCATGGCTGGGGAAGCTGACTCAGAGGAAGCTACTAATCTCTGAGTATTGTGGTTTCATCGTCCGGTGACCTCACCACTCTGACCGCAACCCTCTGGACCGCCGGGAGCAACTTGTACCAGGGTATCGTAAGCCTGCATACTGGTGTCTGATGAGGTTTATAAATAAACAACTCTCTAGTTTATAACAAACAACAAATCCTTTTACACCCAGATTTCACATTTTCTCTCTGATACAAAGAACGGTTGCTACAACATCTAGCTTCCATCACAACACCTCACATCCACCACACCACCTCTCATTATTCATATCTTGTCATGTGTCATTAGTTTAGGAAAAATAATTAAATTCATTTATAAACAATATGGTGACTCTGTCTGAATTAATACGAAGTGTGTTTATGGTCCCTGAATAGGCAAAGAACCCTAGAATCTTCTGATTAAACATTCAAAGATCAATCAGGTTGATATTTCATATTTGTATGGACTATCACATCTTCCATCCATCCATCCATTTTCTGAAGCCGCTTTGTCCACGCGGGGTCGCGGGGGGGTGGGGGTGGGGGCCTGTTGCCTATGTCCAGCGGTCAGCGGGCAATCAGGCGTTGTACGCACTGGACAGAGAGCCAGTCCATCGCAGGGCAACACAGAGACACACAGGACAATCAACTATGCACACACACTCACACCTAGGACAATTTGGACAGACCAATCAACCTAACAGTCATGTTTTTGGACTGTGGGAGGAAGCCGGAGTACCCGGAGAAAACCCACGCATGCACAGGGAGAACATGCAAACTCCTTGCAGAAAGATCCCAGGCCGGGAAGCGAACCCAGGACCTTCTCGCTGCAAGGCAACAGCTCTAACCACTGCACCACTGCGCAGCCCATATCACATCTTATTGGTCATAATTAATATGTATTAATTGCTACAATGCCTTCTCCTTAAATAGAGCAGTGCCTCAACAAACCGACTGGATGCACCCGTTTTACCACACCTACACAGCCCACAGCAATCACAGTAGCTCATAGTGTACGATATTTACCAGGTTACATGACTGCTTTGGGGCTTTTCCAGTAAGGTTGGGCGTGTTCCTTCCACCGTAAGGGAAGATTTTTGTTAGGATGGTTTTAAATAAAGTTTGATTCCATTTATAACAAACAAACACAAATGTTTGTAGTGAAGCCATTTTTGTTACATTTGATCAAAAGTTCTGTAAACTGAAACTGAAATATCCCTGGGCGTGATTTATCAGAACTACTCAGGAATGGTAATGGAAACTCAGAGGCATCTTTACACGGTTTCTTTTTCTAAGAGATTTTGGTGATCATAAATGAGAATATTTTAGTATTTAAGTTTCAATTCATAAAATCCAACTCTCTCTCCTTTAGCTTCTCTTTGATATGTTTCCTATGAACCAGAATGAGGTTTGATCTCAATATTAAAGTCTACAACCCAAAACAGATGAAGGAATCTGCCTCAAGTCCAAACAAACATGGCTCCCACGCAAACCTGTCAGCAGGCGGCTGCTTCATTTATGATTCATCTTTGTTATTCTCAAAGAGATTGTGTCATCACACTCAGCTGTAATCCCTATTCTTCCTGTTTCTTCCTATTTCGGTGAATCATTTCAAACATTTCTGTGATCACAAAGCATCAGCTGCACCACAAAGTCAAATTTCATTCAAGATGTTCATGTTGAAACAAACATTCCTGCAGAAAAATGATCCGCGATTTGCGACAGTTAAAACCTACCTACCTGGTTACTCCACATACGTATTTCATGAGCATTTTTTAACTTAGAAGTACCCCTGAAGGACTTAGTTGTTTGTCCTTTTGTCAAAACTTACTTTGAGCCTGAGAGGGTTAACCCGCTTATGCGGGGGGGGTATCTCCAGCTGACTCCGGTCAAACAGAATCTGCTCAAAGTTTCAAAATCCCCAAACACCTGTTGTGGTTTTAATTTTTTTATTTCAGTGATCAATCCTTTCTACACATTTACAAGGCCTACGGGAGGATCTTACATCAGATTTTACATCAGATTACAACATAAATAGAATGAACATAAAACAAAAATATCACCTAAATGCAGAACAAGTAAATAATGCTTGTTTCTAATACTTTCATATGGTTTCATACTTTTCCAGTACTTCCATCAGCGTCGGTACAGTCGTTTCTGCACAGCAGTACATTAATCAGACATGATGTTCTGACATCTGTTCAGACATTGAAGAGTTTCACACAGAGACTCCCCGGTTGTTTGGGAGCTCCGTCTCAGCAGCAGAAGGTGGATGGATGAAGGATTCTGGGAGTTCTGTGAAGGTCTATTCTGGAAGCTGCTTTACGAGAAGTGTTTCCGGTAAAATCTTCATCGGTGACGTATTCACAGTGTTGAAGTATGGAAAGATTTTTCCAGTAAAGGTGTGAGTAAAGGTGTGAAGATGTGTGTTGGTATCAAGGTCAAAGAACAGCAGCTTTCCTCTGCTGCAGTCCAGATACACTCGGATCCTCTGGAGCTTCCCTATCGGAGACAGAGTCGTGGATGGGTCCGATAGGGAGCGGGCGTAGTATTTACCCTCTAAGCATCCGATTCTCCATAAGCTGGATGGATGCTTCCCCTTCCTCTTCACATCCTCGGATGCAACACCTACAAACCAGCTTGCGCTTTCTCCGATCGCGACGTCCCAGCTGCGTGTCCCAGAGTCAAAGCCCTCAGAGCCCAAGACGATACGGTAGTAGTCAAACCGCTCCGGGTTGTTGGGAACGTTCTGTTTCTCTCCTTGTTTCACGCTTGTCAGATCGTCCGACACAAGCAATTCTGCATTGGCCGTGTTCGGGTCCAGAACCACAGGGGTGTAGGAGACCACGTGCTTCATCTTGTTCCAGATGTTGAAGCCCAGGTTGCCAAGATGATTGGCCACATCTATCAGTGCTCCTGAGATGGGCTCTGAGTTTTCCAGCGGGGGGCGCTGCTGGATCTTTCTCACAGTCGATTTAAAGTCCACCAGGAACGCAGAGTCTTTTCCTCGGATCATTTCTTCTGTGTCTTGAAGAATTCCTGATAGAGCAGCTATTTCTTTACTCAGGGCCTCGATCTTCGTCTGCAGCAGCTGACTCTTCCTAGTCTCTTCTTCCCTCAGAGCACTGAGCTGGAGTTCTTCCTCCTTTTGGAGAAACTTGCGTAGCCTCCTAAACTGCTCCTTCATGCGCACCGCGGTGAATTGGGCCTGTATCGTAATGTGTTTAGCCTCCTCATCAAAACCTTCTTTAGCCTCATTCAGCAGCTTGAGTTTGTCCTGCAAAGGCCCAAGAAGCCTTTTCAGCTCTCTTTTCTGCTCCCGAGCGACTTCTTTAACCGGTTTGAATCTGTGCCCGATGTGTATGTCTGAACACTGGCAGGTGAGACACACGGCCTCCCGGTGATCCACGCAGAAGAGTTTCAGCTCCTCATTGTGCAAACTGCAGAGAACCTCTGGTTCCTCTTGAGCCGGGAGCCCTCTGCTCTGAAGATACAAAACGCATTTGTGTCGTAGATCATTGTTGGATGGAGGGTCCCTCGTGGGGGACGTTTTCTTACAAACTGGACACTCCAGTATAATCTTCCCATCCCACCAGTTATCCAGACAGGACCTACAGTAGCTGTGTTTGCAGATCAATTCAGCAGGATCCCTGAAGACGTCGCGGCAGATAGGGCAACAGACATCCTCCTCTGGAATCCACAACATCTTTCTGTTTTTAGAAAAGCCCACGAGGCAGCAGCTCAACCAACAGTGGTTTCACACTTTAAACGGGATAATATTTAGAATAAAACTCACGATCAGAGCTGGAGGAGGATCTTCTCAATGTTTTCACTTGGTGGAGCGTCTGAGCTGAATGTGAACTGAGTCAGCTGTTTTAATGATGTCTGACAAGGAAGGAGGTCTGATTCCTGGCAGACTTTTGGCGTGTCACGAAAGGGGTGGAACTGTTGTGAAACAATCTCACACTGTCAAAGCTCTGACTTTCCTGAAATGATTAATTTTGTTATAATTTAGAGCTAAAATCCTCACACCCCGCCCTTCTTTCTTTATATTTTTGTGTTTGAACCAAACTCCGAAGCTCAGAGTCACCATCTGGGAACAAGGTGTCTGATGGAGGAGGTGGGAAAACCCAGAGCAGACTCTCAATAGCTGTTTCTCTCTCTCTCTTACACACACACACACACACACACACACACACACACACACACACACACACACACACACACACACACACACACACACACACACACACACACACACACACACACACACACACACACACACATCTATCTTTCTATCATATGGACCCTTCATTGACTTCCATTCATTTTTGTGATCTCACCATGCCTGACCCATACCCCAACCCTAACCATAACCTTAACTAAAACTTAATTTACACCATACCTCTAACTGGTATAGTAAGCTTCTAAAAAAAAGTGAGGTCCAAAAAATGTCCTCACTTTGTAGGGAAAATGGTCAAAATGGTTCTCAGTATGGAGTATGTACAAGAACACACACACACACACACACACACACACTGTGTCATGTGGGGCATTTGATCCTGCAAACAGGTCCTGCAAACCACTCCTATATTTGTCTTTCTGACTCATGGAGACTAAATGGTAAATGGCGCCCTCTTAGGGTCCTACAACCACCCAAGGAGCTTTACAACACAGTCAGTCATGGACCCATTCACACACTAGCGATGATGAGCTATAATGTAGCCGCAGCTGCTCTGTGGTGCTCTGACGGAAGAGAGACTGCCCAACGCTGGAACCACCGGTCTCTCCGACCACCACCAGCAGACAAGGCAGTTTAAGTGTCTTGCCCAAGGACACAACAGCAGCATTCTCTGCTGTGGCACCCCAAGGGGTGGTCATGGTCACCCCTAAAGACCTGTGTTAATAAATCATTAATGTTCACTCAAACCATAAATTCGTCCTATTTATTCAAGACATAATAAAAAATATACAATTAATGAGTAAAGCAACAGGTGAATTAAACAGCATCATTAAATTCTGCAATATTTAAAATTCAAATACCTGAAATGTATTTTTCTGAAATGTTTGTTTGTCGAACTTGAGTTTAGTGTTTTTTATGTATTTTTTTTAATAAAAATGAATAAAGTACCAATGCATCGTCGCAGTGTAAACTCCCAGAGTCACTAAGGACAAATTTGGTGTGCCACCCCAAAAACATCTGTCCCCATCTAGCCACCCTTATCAAAATTTTCTGGAGCCGCCCCTGATTCTCTGGTGGGAGCCAGGATTGAGCCTAAAACCTTCCAATGGACCACCCGCTCTACCTCCTGGGATATTTGCTGCCTGACTAAAGCTAGAGGCGTTCCAAATGGGTTCCAGACTCCAACAATCAACAGAACAAAGGAAAGTGTAAGAATTGTCACATGACCTTTCAGGATAATGTATGCATTTCTTCCATCAAAGATCAAAGACTGAACCAGGAAACTCAGAACATTCTTAAAGGTTTTCACACATTATGGAAACTCCCTTCGGAGCTAATACGTGCAAACACCTCAGCCAGACAATTAAACTCTATAATTATAATTCATTCCATCACTTTTTTTTAACTCAACATGTCCTTGATGCACATTTGGGGTTAAAGTAAGTAACTTAAGTTTATTTAAAGTATAACAAGCTAGTGGAAATTTGTAATCATAAAAACAAAAATGACATTCTTACTTTTTGATGAGATATGAAGAAATCTGTGTGAGCCAATGAAAACAAGGAACTTTTTCACAGAGAGACAGAAAACTCCAGGTAGACTCAGGTGATGAGTGATGGGAATGTTTATCATAGTTAAACATAGCATGGCAGCGGATCAAAGTGCTGTACAAGCAGAGCCACACAAAACGATAGTCACAGCTTTCTCCACAGAGAGAAGCGTAGCGTCAACAAACTAAAAACTCACTAAAGCTACAGACTGCATAACCAGCATATAAAAGCAAACCATAATACAAACATAAAAATGCCTAAACAAGAGGTAAGGCATAGGCCAACCAGTCCAGAAACTATATTGTTCAAAATTTTTTAAGAATCATATGATTGTTTCATTTGCATCAATGTTATTTCAGTTAAAAGGGGCAGATAATATAAGTTTTCTTCTTTCTGTCCCCTTTTTCATTTTGGCTCTTAGCAATTTAGTTTTGTATTTTTATTTTAATGTCAATAAATGAAAATAAAGTTGAATAAGACTCATATATAAAACAAGAAGGTTAAAAAGAAACAGAGGACAAGGTGATCATCCGACCAAAAGACAAGCTGTGGAAGGATGCCTTCAGTACAGATTTGAGGGTGCCTGTCTCACAGAGAGCGGGATTGTGTTCCAGACTTTAAGAGCAGCAAATGATAAATTAAATCATGTGATTTATATCTTTTTTTCTGGGGGTGCACAGTAGCAAGTGATCAACTCAGACAAATCTTTTTAGCTTGGCTTTGTCATGTTGGGGTGTAGGTTTTGACCCACGACATGTAGAATCACCACGGAGGCAAAGGTAAGCAAAAAAGTATTTATTTTTGTTTGGTTGAAGTGCAGGTGAAGGTCTGCGGTCGGGAGGGTCCAATAGTGTTGGTTTCCTGAGCGTTTGGGGAGCTTGAGAGGGCGAGTCAGGTCTGGCTGAGCGAGATGGTTGTGAGGGGCAGAGATGATGGCTGGGAGCTGAGCACAGGAGTCCAAAGTATCCGAGCGGGGCAGGTGAGCGTTGGAGAGCAGGCGGTCAGGGTGAGTGGCGTGGCTGGCAGGCAGGGTGATCCCGGAAGTTTCTTTCTTGAAGAGGAGTGCAGTCAAATGGACGAGAGGTAACTGGGGAGGAATCGGAGGAACAGGGCAGGTAAGTACGAGGCTGGCAGGGAACACAGGAGACAAGCTAGAGACAGGCAGAGTACAGGCGAGATACTACCCAATACTGAGTAATCATCTGGCACTGGTGAGTTGTCACGCCGCTCCTTAAATCCCCTGAGCTCTGATGAGGAGATCCTCAGCAGCTGCTCTCCGGGACACGCCCACCTGCAAACAGAAAGACTTGGACCTAGAGAGAGGTTAGCTCAGCACAGCCCATGACAAGCTTTTAACTGATTACTATCACTTTTTAAATTAATTAATTGATTATTTATCTATTTATTTATTTTATTTATTCTTTCTTTATATGTGCTATTTTTAACAGAGTTTTTTTTACCATAGATTTATGATCAACATTATTTTAATATCTATATAACTTTTTATATTACAATTCTCATTTTAGCTCTCATATTTTAACCTTAATTTAACCTTTTTCCAGTGTTTCCTCTGTGGGGGCCCTCTGCCCCGGGGGCGGTAGTCGGCTGTGGTAGCCTGAGTGCTTTCCAGTTGTGCCTGGGTGGAGGTGGGGGTCTCCACCCTCCCTGCCCTGGGCGCCCTGTGTCGGTGCCTCGGCTGCTGCTGTGGATCTGCTGCTTTCGGGGCGGATGGCTCCCCTGATGGCATTTTCTCGTCCTTACCTTAGCTCGTCTGGCTCATCTGATCTCAGCCCATCATGTTTTTTTAATGTGTGTGTGTGTGTGTGTGTGTGTGTGTGTGTGTGTGTGTGTGTGTGTGTGTGTGTGTGTGTGTGTGTGTGTGTGTGTGTGTGTGTGTGTGTGTCGGAGGATGAATGTTGTGAAGGGGTTTTTATTGTCAGACTGTTTTTAAAATTCTGGGGATGGGAGGGAATGTGCGTATGTGGGGCCTTTTTAATCTGTAAAGCACTTTGAGTTGCATGTATTACATGATTAAGTGCTATATAAATACAGTTTGATTGATTGATTGAATAAAGTTTAAGGCCTTGTAGACGAATGTCACTCGATAGAGTACGTCTGTGCAACAAACACGCAGAAACACACATTTTTGGTTAGGAAAACAAATGAGACGAGACGAGAAATTATCTAGTATTCAATTATATCCTGTTTTATTTTTAAAGCACTTCCACACGCCTAGATAGAAGGAAAACTTCTGTTTTCTGTGCACTTCTGTTTTACTTTCATTGAAACTTGGGTTTTTAGTGACATCCAAGAATTCACAATTGAACAACAAAGAAGAAATAATGATCTTTTATTTAGCGCCTCTCAAGATAAAAATCACGAGGTGCTTCACAAGAACAATAAAAAAATAAAAATGATGAGAAATATAATTAAAATGGGGGAAAAGGGAAATGTACATTAAAAATGTGAAAACAAAATTGAAAAACCAAAAGGTCGTCACAGAATCCCTAAAAAGACAGAATTCATAAAAGCTGCAGCATGAAAAGACGCCAGTGGTTAAGACGAGGGTGAAAAAGAACAGGTGAGTTTTCAGCTGCTTTGTAAACGAGGCCACAGCAGCAAATGATCTGTCAAAGAGAAGAGTGGACCAAGAACGGACCCTTGAGGTACCCCAGCAAATGTTATAGAGGTCAGGAGAGTTCGAGTTTTCATAGAAGGTAGAAGAAAACTTCCTGAAAAGCTCCTGCTCCGAGTTAGCTTCACCCATGTATACATTTCTGCCAGGGGAATTGAAACAGCAATCACATGAACACACATAAAATCTCTTAAGCTGATACAAGATGTTTATATTTTAACAAACCCGTGTTTCGGCTTCACCTTTAAACTTGAACTCATCTCAGAGTTGGTTGTTAAGCTGAGATTTTCTATGTGACACCTCTGCAGGACTCTTCAATCCTTCACTTCTCATAAAGATGTTTGTTATGTTTTGAATGCTGGTCCTGCTGCTTGAAGCTTGCACAGAATGCAGCAGAACGCTCTTCAGCGGGAAACAGATGAACGACGTGTTCCTCTGGACCATCTCACTCATCAGTTTTGTCATTTATTAGTTGTTTTTATGAGTTTTAAAGACTCTGCGCCACCTCACTAGAATCCCTGTACCATCTTACATTTCACACACAGGACGAAGGGCCCCAAACCAGGTTCAGAAACACCAGGGTATCAGCTCCTCTGCTTCAGAAATGCTGGGGAAAACTAACCAAGAAACAGAACTTACCTGTTTAAAACACACACACACACACACACACACACACACACACACACACACACACACACACACACACACACACACACACACACACACAATTTAAACCCTCCCACTGTCCTAATGGGTGTGACCCCGTGAGGAAAGTTGACCATTGAGCAGGATTGATGGTTTATCCCTTGGGTCCATGTGACAGGGATGAGGAGTGAGCACCACCTCACCCCTGCCACGTGGACCTCAAGGGATAAACCATCGAGCCTACTTAACGGTCAACTTTCCTCGCAGGGTCACCAATAAAGACAGAGGGAGGGTTAAACAAATGTATGCAACAATTAGCTATTAGTAGTAAGTAGGAGTAATCTAGTTTTGGCTTTGCTCAGACGAGCCAGTGTAAAGGAAAATCTGTTTAATTTGATCTGACTGCTAACGGAAAGCCGTGTAAAAATATCTGAAATATCTGACTGATGGCATGACCACTGGTTGAAAGATTTAATCTCAAACTGGTGAAAGAGTTCTATAAACATCTGCGGTGGATGATGACTGTTTTCACCACCTTGACCTCAGGGCAAAGCCACACAAACCAAATGTTCCCAACAATGCTCAGTAAATATGTAGGTAAGTGCTCGAGGAGCGCTACTGCTGCAGAACAAACACGTTAAAGGCTTTATGTAAAAATCTTCCTCGTGATCACATTTATGCATCAGGGGTGGGTGAAATCTATTTTTTACATCTGAGATAACAATCTAACAGAGAAGTGGAAAAGTCAAGTGGAGCTGAGTGATTTGTTGGGTCCAAACAAGGAGATGGTATGAAGACGGACACGATGAACAAGGAACACCTGCAGGCAAAACTGACATTTACAAATCTGCTAAATCCCATTCTGTCTCATAGTTCACAAATACCCCCAGAGGCAGTCTTTTGAATCGAGTCCAACAGCATGACTTGTGTTTTTGTACTCGTACACTGAATGAAAGGTGACTGGAACTGGTACAGCACTAGCAGTAAATATGTTTTATTACCTATCAGTACTTTTAATTTAACACTTAAAACTTTACTTTCATGTAGTTGTCGCCCGAAATTTGGTGTTAGTCTTATTGACTCCATGTTTTTGTTCCTGTTCTGATCCTGATGTCTCTAACCATGAACCTGCCTCATTTACAGCCATGCCTGAGCTGATTTAAAGGCCTTTTGTTTGCAGTAGAATGTTGGGCAAACATCCAGGAATGACAGTTTCATACGTAACTGGCTGCTTAAGAATTTCACATCTGACCTGTTTTCTGCAATTCAAAGCTAATTACAGTAAAAGGACAATGCAACGTCTGTTTTTATTATTTTTAGTGTAGCGTGATGAATTGTCCATTTCTGACCTAAAAGACCCTGCTCTATTTGCTCTGCCCAAGTAAAACCATAAGTTACTGACACAGGCCTATTCTACAAGACATGGGCCCAGGCCACTCATGCTTTGCTCTTATCTAAACTGTTCTTCTCCGAACAGCATAAGAAAGAAGACAGAACTCTTTCCCTTTAAATAATAATAAATCAAAGAACTCTTTCTCTATTTTTAATAAGCTAATCAAACAAAGTGTTAGTCCAATAATAAAATGTGAACCAATCTGTGAAATGACAATGTTTATGGTCAGTAGTATTTTAATAAGTAATAGGACTTTAAACTAGACACTAGACATTCTCATCCACATAATGCTTAAAGTCACATGACACATTTTCCTTTTCTGATTCAATCAGAACCTTCCAGATCTGATGCGAGGCGTGGTTTTGTTGGTGTTTGGTAAATCCCCTATTGTTGTCCTTTTCTGATTCAACAGTAAATCAAAACATCCAAATTATAAAACTATGCCCCACGTCATCTTAACTGGAGTCCAAAGCGTTCTAGAGAAGTTATCGGAGTGGCCAATCCGTAACTTTCCTCTTCAGCCGAAAGAACCTAACGACAAACTGGATTAAATCTGGTGCATGTTCCACCTGCAGCAACGGTTCCTTTCAGAATAAAAGCTGAACCATCACGACCCCTTTTTGGGTCTTGCTAGATGCTAATAAACTGTCGTGACCTGGGAGTATCTCAAGACTGGTCTGGTCGGCAACCGCTGCCTTGCTTCCGGCTTCGGTTCCAGAGAAGGTCAAGCTGGACCTCGACATTTCTGATCTAACGGGGACTTCCGCAAAGGGTACGTAGACCGGCAGAATGGCGTCTCAATGTGTGTTATAATCTCCAACCTAAAGCTTAGAGCGAAAACCTCATTTCACTCCCATCAGAACTAGTTGTTTCTCCAGATTTGCTGGTTCTGAACAACATTCCACACTACACCATCAATCTTGCCTCATTCACACCTAAATCCATTCATCACACAGAGTGTTTAGTGTTTAAAGTTAGTCTAGTTTTAAATCGTTTAGTAATAAATCTTCTTAACTTTAAAACTTGACTCTTTCTTTTGTCTCTGAGTTAATACGAAGTTATTACATAATCCCTGCAATAAAAAGTTCCAATCTTCTGGTTTAAATTATCCAAAGATCCATAAGATTGATTTCATATTTCCTATGGAGTCTCACATTTTATGGTTCATTAAATAATATGTACATTTTATCGTTACATTAGCATGCAAACCATAATTCATACCTATTTTATTAGAAATGGCCAAATTTAACTACAATTTTACACTTTGCCCATTACGATACAGTCTAGGGTGAGAATGTCATTTCTCTTCAAGGGCCTACACCCCCCTTTACCACAGGGGGGCTCTGCTCGGCATCCCTTTCCAGCTGTGGGAATCTGCCACCTGCAGCAGAAGAAGACAGTGAGGTGACATCACTAAAGCACACTGGACAGAAACTTGAAAACTAATTGATTTTGCATCTACAGTTTCTGCTTGGAAATTGGTTTTATCAGAGACATCTACTGTCCAGGGATGGAGTCCTTACATCGTCCAGAAGAAGACAAGACCGGGACAATTCAATGCACCCATGCTATCACAAAGCTAACGCAATGGCAAAATAATAAAACATGTTTCAAATAAATATGAAACAAAAAGTAATCAAAATGTCACCTGTACACCTACAAAGGCTTTGGGAAGAAGGAGTTCCAGTAAACTGACCCAGTGGAACAAACTAGCATTAGCAGTGACTACATGCTACATACTAATCCAGACAATATTCATTTATCTTCATTTTCTGAGTGCCAGCCATGGAGCAAACTCGCCTGTTTCCCCTTCATCGACTAGGGGCTGGATCCAGAAAGGAGCAAGTTCCCATTGACTCCCATGTTAAAAATGCCATTGTCACAGAAGAAATAAACGTGTTTACAGCCTGGTTAAATAAGCTCATTTAGTATTTACCGTTTATTTTATTTATTTATTTTTTGTAACTCCTCCATTTAAATGTAATTAAAGCTTGAAACTACTTGGGGGGCTTGTCCCTTTGATTGACAGGTAGCACACATAAGCTGTTGAGGCTAGCGGCTTGCCCTCCTGCTTGCTCAGGGCTCAGTCTCAGCCTCACCTTAAAAGTGTTACAGCCTAGAAGGCAGAGGGTAGTAGAGTCGCTCAGAAAAGTTTTTGGGCTGAAAGCCCCTGCCAACCTCTGTTAGCTTTGGTTAGCTCAGTTAGCTCATAGCTGCATCCACTCAGAGTTTGATGGGTGTCAATCATTTGTCGTCGTCCCCCCCCCCGGTCCATTTTCCTTTTTTCCAGGAGTGACGAGATGTGTGATATGGTCAGGATGGCGGTAGTGGGAAACGCCCACCGAGCTTCAATTCAGGTCTTCTAACAATGATGACAGCACGGAGAGATGGTAGATCTTATATGTAGTCAGTCATTGGTGCCAACGTAACATGTGGTGGGTGAAAAGGTGGACTCGGACTTGGCCTGTATAACCAGGTGACCTGCCTCAGACTCGACTTGTAGCAAACCTATGCGACTTAGACTTGAACTCTGGAGATGGCGACTAGACTACAGCACTGCTAATATATTAAGGATTTTAGAAATAACAAACACTCGCCTGCATTCTCTGATAAAGAAATGTTAACTTCTGCTTCAGACTTTCAATCTCCTGAAACAAAAACAGAGAGACAATATTCAGACGCCTGCTCAATCAAGAACCTTTTCTACAAGTTTAATTAAACGTGTTGCCTTGGTTACATGCCATATATTGACCTGCATTAGTTTTTCATTGTGCCGTGGTTTAATCTGAGGCAGCAGATCATTTAGTTTCTGCATCTGTGGGAGGAATATCATTTCAGAGCTCAATGTGGACAATCAGAAGTCAAAAGAAAACACATGGAGTAGATGAACAGTGCTCTGTGTCCTACCCTCCTGTCGATGGCCTGCAGCCTGGTCTTCATGCTCTTGTTGATCACAGTCGTAGGAACAGTTCTGGATTTGGGGCGAACTGCAACAAAATCACAGCTACAGATGATGACATCTTCAGATGCTGTTGCTACGGGTGCAGAGAGAGCCCTCATGAATGCAAAGCTGCTTCAACACGGACAGGTCGGCAGCAGCAGAGAAGCAGCAGACAGCAGGATTTGGAGTCTTATTTTTTATATGTGGACATCTCTCCTCTGATTGGCTAACAGCAGCACAACTCTACCACTGACTCTGTTTGCTCTGCAAGGTTGATGTTTTTTCTCCATAAATAACATAAAACCTGGAGGAGTTCTGCAGTGTGGTGGAGTTGCTAATGATAGCGGTAGGCTTCAAGCTAGCTGCTGTTTCCTGCACGCTAGATGGGTGAGTCCAAGCGAACCATCAATGTAGAGTGTCATGGCTTTTCTAATCCTAGAGTTTCACCATTTATTTTCTATCAGAAGCTGAAGCAGGAGATAGGTGTAGGAGACTCAGAGTGACCGATTATCGATGATAAAAATCATCATTAAAAATTAGTTTCAATCAATCAAACTTTATTTATAAAGCACTTTTCAGACAGAAAATGTAACTCAAAGTGCTTTACAGTTTTTCAGTGTTCCACACCTAGTTTTTAGTCATAATCCTAGATTACCAAGTTAAGTCTGCAAAGAAAATGAGTCTATTTCCTAGAATGTCAAACTGGACTCTTACCGTGCTGAAAGACCCTAGTCACCTCAAGCACATGTGGTCTGTGAAAAATAAATAAATAAATAAATAAATAAATAAAAGGATGTATTGTTTAATATATGGCGACTTTGTGAGGACAGGTGTGTGTTAGATGTAAACCACTGACGTGTGTTTGCTGTTAGCAGGGATGGAGCAGTTCAGAGGGATCAGATGACCATGGTGGTTCCTGATCTGCACAAAGACAACAGAGATCAAGCATTGGGGTTTTTTATTTCTGTACATTTTTTCAAATACAAAATTTTTCTTAAAGGGAGACTAGGCAGTTTTGGCTCATTTCGAACCCTCTAGTTTTTATTTAGTCGAACCAAAAGCAAAACCTATCTCCTCGCTGTGCGTTCATCTATTTAACTCCTTAATCTAACAGCTGAAATGTCTCCCCAGCCTTCATTAGTGTCTACAGAAGTGATTCATCACTAAATCAAACAAATCAGCTGTTTTCATGATCTACAACATACAGGAACCGTGCTGGAAGCAGACTGCAGCTCCAGGTACGTCAGCTACATTTTTAAGTCCAACAGACCGAACCGGCACTCTGAAATTGCAAATGCTGTATTCTGGCCAAAGAGGGGGGTGGGGGTCTGAGTGACATTTCATTAACCATGTAAAGAGTCATTTTAGCTCATACTGGCTCAAGAAAAAGATTTAAAAATATGAAAAGTTTGCAAAGAATCCCTTTAAAATATTCAGTAGAAGTCAATCTACCTTCAGTATGAGATTGAGAGAGTTCAGTCTGAAAGAACTGGTGATGATCTGTAGGAGAGAGGCCATTTAAAACAAGCAACATTAAAATAAACTTCTTCAAAAAACCTCATCAAAGATTTAAAATGATGCTGCATGACAAAGAATTCAGCTAGTCAGTGATTGATCACATGACGAGGTGGCAAGTAGTTGGTGTTGACAGGTGTCTGGTTCCTATATTGCAGGGAACCAACCTGAGGATGGACTGGCACTATGAGTGTTCTTCATTGTCACTGTGTTTGTGATGGAAATAACAGAGTGTGTTTGTGCTTTACTGTTAGAGTAGCAAATAATAAGAAGCATAAAGTCAGAAAGCAACAATAAAGCTTTTGCATACCTCTGTGACCATGCTGACCTGAGTC